AGATTTACCCACTACGTCATCTGGCTTTTTCTCTAAGAGCACATCTTGTGACTCATCCCCTAAGCTTTTCTGCACTGCTGTCTCCTTTTAAGATTTATGAACAATGAACAATCCACATGATGCAAAAGCAGAACAGTAGAGGGAAAGGGGGCTTCGGTGAAAGGTCTCCTTCCTGCCCACCTGCTCCATTCTGCCCATTTCTTTCACATTTGTTTCTTGTTGAGTATTCCTTTTCTCTGTTCCTGCAAATGAAAACATGTTCTTACTTTCACAGAAGGGAGCACTGAATGCATATGTTTCGTACCTTTTTTTATAGGGTACATCCCCCCGTCTATATATCTGCCCAGTGTCACCCATCCACCCATCATTCCGTCCATGGTCCTGTGATGGCCTCTTGGGCTTTTCACTGAGCAGCACTTGTGGGAGGTTGTTCTGGATCAGCACACATGCCCTTGCACATAATTGTGTATACTCCATGGTAGACAATCCACCTGTCCTACAAAGGCCCGTGGGCTTTTCTCAGCTTCTCTTTGCTCCGTGCACAGGCGTGACTCTAGCTGATGTTTTGTTGCTTTCTCTGGAGGATGGAGGGTGTGGTGGGCCCAGGCGCCATCATACATGGCCCTTCCCATGCTTGCACTCATCTGTCATCTCTGGCTTCTCTCTTGCAGCAACTGACCAACCACATCCGGGAGTCACTGCCGACCTTGCGCAGCAAGCTGCAGAGCCAGTTGCTGTCCCTGGAGAAGGAGGTGGAGGAATACAAGAACTTCCGGCCCGACGACCCCACACGTAAAACCAAAGCCCTGTTGCAGTACGTTTGTCCTCTCCCAACCTAGCTCACTGGGGCCTCCACCCAGCCACAGGGTTCCAGGACTAGGCCGGGCATCAATCCTCATTCATCCTTCTGTTCATTCAACAAACATCTCCCAAGGGCCACCTGTGTGCCAGGCCCTGTCCTGAGCACTGAGGTCACCTCAGTGAATGTATTCCAGTCTGATAGAATACAGTATCCTTCCTGCCCCATGTGATCAGAAAGGGGAGATAGGGAAGGATGAGACAAAATAAGTAAATAAAATATATAGTGTGTGAAATGTCAAAAAATGTTAAAGTGGGTAAGAGGCTAGAGAGTACCAGTGTGGGCATAGCGTGCCATTGAAAATACAGTGGTCAGGCCTGGCTGGCATGGCTCAGTGGTTGAGCATTGACCTATGAACCAGGAGGTTACGGTTCATTTCTCAGGTCACATGCCCGGGTTGTGGGCTCGATCCCCAGTGGGGAGTGTGCAGGAGGCAGCCAATCAATGATTCCCTCTCATCGTTGATGTTTCTATCTCTCTCTCTCCCCTCCTCTCCGAAATCAATAAAAACATTTAAAAAAAAGAAACTAGAGTGGTCAAGAAGGCCTCTCTGAGTCCTTGGGAGTCAGGCAAAGACCTGAAGAGGTGAGGGAGGGAGCCACATAGAACCTGGATGGGGCCCAGCCAGTGCAAAAGTCTTGAGGCAGGACTGTGCCCAGCATGTTGGAGGTCCCTGTGGCTGAGCGGAGTGAGGGAGGGAGAGTGGAAGAGGTGAGGGCAGAGTGTGCAGGGCCTTGCTGAACATGGGGAGGACTTTGGCTCTTGCTCTGAGTGCGGTGGGAGCCATGCTTGGTTTTGAGCAGAGAATGGGATGGCCTGACTCGGGTGCTCACACGCGCCCTCTGGCGGCTGCAGGGAGGACAGACATGGAGGGGGTGGGACCAGACCAGGTGTTAGCTGCTTCTGCTTGATCTCTTTGAATCCTCACCCTGACTATTGAGTCCAGCTCAGAACTGTAGGAGACTCCCTGCAGCTATGCAGCTGAGAGGCAGGGGAGTGGGTGTCCCCACCATCGCAGGTTCTTTCTTGGGGCTCTTCCTGCCCCTGTATTCTCAGTTTCTGCCCTGCCAGGGACCATAAGTGCCGCAAGGACTTGGTTAGAGTGAGTTCCAGAAACTCCCTGGCAGCTCATGTGGCAGGTGGTGGCATGCACAGGACTCCTCCTACAGGCACACCAGAGGGGCACTGCCCCCATGACCATCTTAGGTCTGACGTCCCCTCCCTCTCAGCCATTGGGCGGTGCATGGTGGCGGGATCGGGATGAGAATGCTTTTATGCTCAGTCAAGCTCAACTGCATTCTGCAACGCTTTTTTTTTTTTTTTAAATATATTTTTTAATGATTTCAGAGAGGAAGAGAGAGGGAGAGAGAGAGATAGAAATATCAATGATGAGAGAGAATCATTGATTGGCTGTCCTCTGCACTCCCCACATGGAGCCAAACTGGCTAGGACCACAAAGCTTTCTACAGGGCAGATGCTGATCCTTTGTAGACATGAAGAGGAGATTTAGTCTAGCATGTGCTGCAACCTGGGGGTAAGCCTGGGTCTGCTGGGCTTCCCCTGGCTGGTGACCATGCCTCTCTGAACCTTGTATTCCTTACCCCTAAATGAAGGTATGAAAGGGAAACATCGAACAGTTGCCTCCTGTATATGCCCCAACCGGGGATTGAACCCACAACCTAGGTTTGTGTTCTGACTAGGAATTGAACCCACCACCTTTTGGTGTTCAGGATGACGCTCCAACCAACTGAGCCACCCAGCCAGGGCAAAAGTGTTTTTTTAATTAAGGCATGTATGTTGTTTTTTTAAACATGTTATTGGAACTCTTAGTAGACTGCAGTATAGTGTAAAAGTAACATATATGCACTGGGAAACAAAAAATTTCTTATCACTGGCTTTATTGTGATATTTGCTTTATTGCAGTTATCTGGAACTGAACCTGCAATATCTCCGATGTCTGTCAATGCCTGAGTAGACCAAGAATTTGGGAGGCAGAGATGAGGAAATGATTAAGGCAGACAGTGTAAGGGACTGGGGGGAGCAATTAAAAATGCCAAGGAAAATCGAGACACTAGTAAATATCTTAGATCTTTACTGTTCACATTGTCACAGCATTAATTAGCAAAACTTCACACTTTGTAAGGGCTAGGCTGGGTTCTAAGGGGCCAATCGTGGTATTAGCACATTTTGTCAATTATGTGACATTTTGACTTCTCTGAATTCAAAAGTTTTAGGAGAATTACCGTGATTTGACAGCATTTTTTTATTTTTTTGTGGGAGTATGGACTAGGATTGTATTTTAGGATTAGTGACTTCTTGGAAGTTGATGAAATCTAGAAACTTTTTGAATCCTCAGTGACCTTGTGTGGAGGTGCTGGTATGATCAACCCACTTTCCAGATGAAGGAACTGAGGCTCAGAGGGACAGAGGCCTCAGCCTATAGTGGTGGAGTGCCGACCCACGTGCTGGGAGGTGGCGGAAGCCACCTGAACGATGTGAAGGAACTACCATTTCACTCTCTGATCCTGTCAGATTAGGCCAAACCTCAGGGCAGAGGTGAGGTTGCTAAGTTGTGACCCCCACACCTCATTCTTGTCATCTGCAAAATGGAGTATTAACTGCACCCCCTTCAGTTCAGTGAATGATCGTAACAGGCATATAGAATGGGCCTGGCATGTAGCGAGTGCTTGCCACCTGCAGCTCCTGAATTTTGTTATTTGTTTTGATGTACACATAGATTTTGTTCCTAAAAATGAAAAGAGGGAACTGAACCATGGCTTGACTCAGGATATAACACCGAAGCTTTGTTGAAACCTCTGCTTAATGTTCGTGTTTTCTTTTTCCTCGTAGGATGGTCCAGCAATTTGGGGTGGACTTTGAAAAGCGGATAGAGGGCTCTGGAGACCAAGTGGACACGCTGGAGCTCTCTGGGGGCGCCCGAATCAATCGCATCTTCCATGAGCGGTTTCCCTTCGAGCTGGTGAAGGTAGTGCGGCAAGGGCTGGGCCCTCCTGTCCCTGGTCAGGCACCCATCTGCTTGGCCTTGAGCTCTGGCCTTCATGCCTGAGCCTGCCCTGAGTAGAGTATGGCCCGGGGAGGCGTCCCCTATGGTTTCCTACCCTGAACAGGCAGCTTACAACTTTCCAGCAGAGCTGGACAAGAAGTTTCTTTTTTTTTTCTCTGACAAAAGCCAATACAATGTATTTCCTTTGCAAAATACATAGAAAATAGTGGGAAATTCACATGTCCTTAACAGGTTGAAAAAAGTAAAAGGAGGTTGTGGACCCAACATGTGCAGCCTAACACATAGATAATATTTGTAATATCCTTCCATACGAAATTATACCTGTGTGTCTTGATGTGTGTATTTGCATAGATCTGTAAGAATCTTACAGTTCTTACAGTTCTCGGAGCTAGAATTTGAGATTTTTAAAAACAATTTGCTTGAACTTTTAAAAAATTTATTTTATGGATCTTAGGGAGAGGACGGGAGGAAGAGAGAGAAATATCAATCATTGATTGGTTGCCTTCCGCATGCACCCCGACAGGGAATCAAACTCGCAACGTGGGTATATGCCCTGACCAGAAATTGAAACCACCACCTTTTGGTTTATGAGACAACGCTCCAACCACACTGGCCAGGGTGTAAAACATTTGCTTGCACTTTTTATTTTTTAATATATTTTTATTGATTTCAGAGAGAGAGAGAGATAGAAACATCAATGATGAGAGAGAATCATTGATCGGCTGCCTCCTGCACGCCCCTACTGGGGATTGAGCCAGCAACCTGGGCATGTGCCCTTGACCGCAATCGAACCTGGGACCCTTCAGTCCACAGGCCTATGCTCTATCCACTGAGCCAATCCAGCTAGGCGCTAATTCTTTATTAATTCCTCAAGATAAATTTCTAGAGCATTTAAAACTACCAGGTGACATTGTAGGTATATATATTTTTATTTTTAGGTATATTTTCGGGGGTTCTTAATTTGTAGTGCAAGTGGCCCCCAAAAAGTTTTTATATGAATTTATGTTTCCTCTAAGAGCAAGAGTGTTAGTTTCACCGCATTCTTGCTGATACTAGGTTTTAATGTTTTTAAGATTTTTGACCAATTTAATATTCAGCCATGTGAATACAGGTGCACGCAGGAAACAACATTCTCCAAATACACAGCTGTTCTGAAGGTGCCCCGGGTGCATCCTTGCTAGTGTCTGGTTTCTCTGTTCTCAGATGGAGTTTGATGAGAAAGACTTAAGACGGGAGATCAGCTACGCCATTAAGAACATCCATGGTGTCAGGCAAGTTCCACGGGGAGCGTGGCCACTGTTCCCTTTACCTTTGCGGTGCCATTCTCCAGTCAGTCTGTCCCCCCAAAGCTCTGGGTGCCCTGATTGTGAGGTCCTGACAGGGTTCCTTGGCGGTTCTCGGTAGCCATACTCTCTCCCAGGGCCCTTGAGGGTGGATGGGCTCAGTCCTGTGCGAGTAGGTCATGGGTCACAGGACTGTCTGCTGCCCTTGGATTAAACATTGGTAAACCCCCCAGTCAGTTGGCATGAGCCCGAGTTACTGTAGTCATCCAAGAAAGCTCGCTGCATATTTGCCCTGGGGGTGGGGGTGGGGAGCCAGAGCTGAGTCATGATTACAGGAATCCAGTGTTTGAACCCATCCTGGGCTCCCTCTGTGTTCCAACAAAAATAGTCCTTCCAGTCATCCAGTCTCACATCACCTGGGGGCCTCAGGTTGCCCTGGGCTTCCAGGTAGTGGACACAGGCATCTGACCCCTAGACTTGCCGTGACCTTGGTTCTTTCGTGGGAACCCGGCCCCTGCCTGTGAGATTGCTGACCATGCTTTGTTTTTCTCTGACTTATCTCCCCTGCCCCCGGGTTTGGATGGTTTTAGGACCGGGCTCTTCACCCCGGACCTGGCATTCGAGGCCATTGTGAAAAAGCAGGTCGTCAAGCTGAAAGAGCCCTGTCTGAAATGTGTCGACCTGGTTATCCAGGAGCTAATCAATACAGTTAGGCAGTGTACCAGTAAGGTATTGGCCCCTCGGCAGGGGACTCCTGGCCGTGTGGAAACGGGGGTTCAGGGCTTTGGTATCAGGCTCCCGGTGCTGCTTCAGCCTGTGCCCCGTGGTGCCTTCCCCCTGCCTCCAGATTGCCTTGGTTTCCGAGAATGTGGCATCTTCCCAGAGGCTGGGGCAGGGGCTGTCGGCCTAGGTGCAGCTGGTAGGGAGGGGAGGGGGGATGGGGGAGGTGTCAGGCCTCCAGAACTGGCCATACTTTTGGGCAGGGCTCCCTGGGACCCTGATACCAAGCCTAGCATGTGTCTGATGGAATTGGGGGTGTCATTGGGCTGTCGCTTTGCTGCCTTCTGAGAAACAGAGAGGGACCCCGCATCAGCTGCTGGAGGCCAAGCTCCCTGAACCTCCCTGGCTGTCACTCCTCCTTGAGTGACACCCTTGGGCTTCCCTGGAGCCAGTCATGTTTCTGTCCCCCGGGTGCCAAGAAAGGCCCAAACACTAATGTATAATGAGTGCTCGGGTCCCAAAGTCGGCTCGGCTCCTAACTGCCTCCTCTAGTTCCCTTGCTTCCCCAGGAGCAGTGCTATTCCCCCAGGTAGCCAGTCCTCAGATCCACTAGGTCACAAGTGCCTATGTGCTTGGGCCACTGCCTCCCCCCAGCAAGACATGCCGGTTCCCCCGAGGGCCTGGCTCCCAGGGCAGCGTGCTTTGGCCGAGCAGCTGAAGCGCTTCTCGATGGGCAGTTTGTGCTTGCACGTCCACGATGGCCGTAGAGCTCTGGGTCGGCCTTCCTAGGCAGGCGATTTCTGCTTGAGCCTTCTGTTCTCAGTCTGGAAAAGCCCACATTTGCTTCTTAAGCTTCTTCGATTGGAAAAGGAAGGGGAAAGAAACCCAGGTGGGTTGGAGATGGTCATCCTGGAGCCCGTTGTCACACATAATGAAAACACAAAGCGTCCCCACACCCATAGCCATCTGCACGAAGACACTGACCCTTAGCTCTTCTGTGATTAAACCCAGACCAAGTCCACCCCTGGGACCCAAGATGCCTCTTTGATCCGAAGCAGCTTCCGGGGCAAATGCGGGCACAGGCTCCTCCATGCATGTCACTAACCAACTGACTCTCGTTTCTCTCTCTCCCTCTCTCTCTCCCTCTCTCTCTCTCTCTCCCCCCCTCCCCCATCCCGGGTGTGTGTCCTGCACTGTCCCTGGGTGTCTCTCTACTGGTCCCACCCTTCGCATGACCCAGGACGGGGCTCTTCACCCCTGATATGGCCTTTGAAGCCATTGTGAAAAAGCAGATTGTAAAACTCAAAGAGCCGAGTTTGAAGTGTGTTGATCTCGTGGTCTCAGAACTGGCCACGGTCATTAAAAAGTGTGCCGAGAAGGTAATAGAAGGTTTTGTTATTCTCACCTACGCATCTGTCCCCCATCTTCTCCCTCTGTTGTTAGTCTTAACCCGCGCATCTGGGAGACTGTCTCGGATGGATCCCCTCTGCGTAAGCCAGTTGTCACTTAACGACATCTCAGCTTTGCATTGGCAGACGGAATGGAGCGAGATGCATCGCACGTGTGTGCCACCTTTGCAGTTTGGGCTACTGAAGGGGCTGGGAGGCTTTGATGTTGCCAAAAGCATTTACTCAGCAGGCAGTGGGGTGAGGGTCAGTGCCGTTCCTGAGACCCTGAGAGAAAGGGGGTTTCCAAACGGTCACCAGAGCAGTAAAACGTTGCCATGTGCAGACCTTCGTGCTCTTACGTCCTGGGACGTTTACTGAGTTTTCATCAAGTCATTTTGACTGTCCAACTCAATTTTCTTCAAAATGGAGCTTAACCCAAACTGCAGAAGGTGGCTCTTCACGTGCTGGCTGGAGCTCTGGGGGTGTTAGAGGAGTGGGTTCCAGAGCTGAGATTATGAGGAACGGTTTCCTACAAGGGGATCCCTCTGAGATAGATGACCCAGATGCCAACCCACCATCTTAGAACAGCTGCTGTGCGCTCACGAGCTGGGCAAGGGCGCTCATCCCAGTGACCGGTGGCTTTAATTATAACCAGTGTCCTCACTCCCACCCAGTGCTGGGTGGGAGGGGGATGGCTGTCGCCCACATTCTCTGCCACTTTCCAGCTCTAAATCGCATTCTCAAAAAGCATCTTTGTTTGTGCACGGGGACCCTGTCACTCTCTCCGGCCCACCGTCCCCCCACTGTCCCCTTGTCTCCCAGCTGGAGCAGCTATGAGACAGGAGTGGGGTGGGGACGCGGTGGGCCCACCCATGTCCCCCACCTCCCCCCGTGTTTTCTGTGTAGTTCACAGTGGTTCCCATGCCACGAGGACCCAGCCAACGCTGCCACTCTGCTTTCCCCTCAGCTCAGCTCCTACCCCCGGTTGAGAGAGGAAACAGAGCGAATTGTCACCACTTACATCCGAGAACGGGAGGGGAGAACCAAGGACCAGGTACTGGCTTTTTGTTTTAATTTTCAGGTATAATTTACTTGCAGTAAATCTTGAGTGTCCAGTATTTTGGGTTTTGACAAATGCTTGCAGTAACCCCCACCTCAATCACAATATAGAACGGTTCTGTCACCCTCCAAAATGCGCATCCTTTGCCCTTTTGCCGTCAACCCCTCCCTGACCCCCAGGTCCTGGCAATCACTTGGCGGCTTCCTGTCCCTCTGGTTTTGCCCTTTTTCCCAGAATGTTTTGTGAATGGTCTCCTGTATTACATAGCCTTTTGATTCTGACTTTCTTCTTTCATCCCTGTTGTTTGTGGTATATCTGCAGTTTGTTTTTTTAATCCTCGCCCGAGGATATGTGTGTGTTTTTTAAATTGATTTTAGAGAGAGAGGAACGATGGGAGGGAGAGAGAGAAACATCAGTGTGAAAGAGAAACTTCATTTGGTTGCTTCTCGTACCCCCCCTCCCCCAACCTAGGTATGTGCCCTGCCCAGGAATCGAACCCGCAGCCCTTTGGTGTACAGGATAACACTCCAACCATCTGCGCCACTGGTCAGGGCTGAAGTTTGTTACTTTTGATCGCTGAATGTGTGGCCCACAGCTTGCTTATCTGTTTGCCTGCCAGAGGACATGAGGGTGCTTTTTGTGGTTTAGTTTTCCTGTGGAGACCATCCAAGCACACACAAAGGTAGACAGTGGGTTCCTCCAAGCAGTCACAGGGGGAGTCTCCCCTGTTCCCTGCTCTGTGTACTGAGGGCCTTCATTCCTCCTTCATGTGCCCCAACACCTGGTCTTGGTCACTTTCCCTCCTTTGTCTGCTGTGGTCTCGTGGCAGCTATTTGTTAAACCAGAACCAAACAAGCCGACGTGTTGTGTTTGGTTGTGATGTCACCTGTATAGAATGGTTCTTCTTCCCTTGACATTGATGGAGAAAACTGGCTCATTTGTCCTTCAGAGGATCCCCCAGTCAACCTGTGCCGTTTCCTCAGAGCTTCTGTAGCCTAGAAGCTGTGTCAGAAGCTTGAGAGTCCAGTTCGTTTTGTTGTCCCTTCCATACACACCACGGCCCCTGGTTGCCTCCCTGTCGACACTGCTCGGCTTGATGCACTGGCTCCGGGATAGTGGGGTTCGGGCTTTATAAAACTAGCAAGAGTGGAGCACCCCAGCCTTTTCCAACAACCCCACAGGGTCTGACCTACTGCCTGGCCTGTTTTATGCTTGAGGGCTTGGAGGCACAGTGAGGTGATAGGAAGGGGCAGGGTACTGTGTAAGGGCCTATCCCTTATCTCTGATGACATCCCCACTGGCGTGTGTGTGTGTGTGTGTGTGTGTGTTTCATTTTAATGTCCTCACCTGGACAGATTATCTTTGCTGTTTAAATGTAGCACTTAGGAAATGCCAGGTGCTAGCTAACGACTTTACATATTGTGTCTTATTTAACTCGTTGAAGTGGGCCTCTTGTGCCCCTATTCCACAACTTGGTAACATGGGGCCCAGGGTCACACAGCTGTCTGGCTGAGCCAAGCCTGCAGCCCAGGTAGTCAGCCCCAGAGGCTGTGCCAGTGACCATGGCTGCCTCTCTCTGTTTGGTAGGCTCAAACTTAACTTGGTTGTGAGTCCCTGATGTCTGGAAGCACCTGTGTGTCCCTTCTCCCTACAGATGCACCCCAGGTGTATTTTGGGGGGGAGATGTGCCCCTGTTGTGCCAGAGAAGCAGCGTGGTTCCGCACCCACACCCCACCCCTATGTGAAAAGTGCTTTATCTGCTGCCCCTGCCTGCCATGCTGGGCTCTATACAGATGCTTCTCAGATTACAATGAGTTTATCAGGATATAACCTCATTGTTACATCCTGATAACCTCATGGTAAATTGAAAATAAAGTAACCTGAAAATGCATTTAATACACCTAACCTTTTGAACATTATAGCTTGGCCTAGCCCACCATAAACTTGTTCAGAATTAAATGAGCCTACGATTGGGCAAAATCATCTAATACAGTGAATGGACTATAGAGCAAGCATGCCAAACTTGTGGCCCGTGCGCCACATGCCTCATTTATTTGGCTCGTGTTAGCCTTTGAGTTTGACATGCTTGCTGTAGAGTATTGATTGTTGACCCTCATGCTCGTTTGGCTGACTGGGAATTAGGCCTTACCCAGCATCATGAGAGAGTATCATGTTACATGTCACTAACCCGGGGAAAGATCAAAATCCAAAGTATGGTTTCTACTGAATGCTTACCACTTTCACACTGTTATAAAGTCAGAAAGTCATGTCGGGGACCATGTGTGCTCACAGAGACTTCTGCTTTCCCTCAGATTCTTCTTCTCATCGACATTGAGCAATCCTACATCAACACAAACCACGAGGACTTCATTGGATTTGCCAAGTATGTACTGTTGGGCACAGCGGCCGATGAGCTGGCACCAGTCCACCCTCAGTTGGGATTCCCTCTGAGAGCTGGAGCGTGAGGGTCTCTGTGTCAGGGTCCTGGGGTGAGAGTGTCTGGAAGGTTGCCTGGACCACCCCCATTGTCCCCACTGCCTCTCCTATGAGGGCACCAGAGGTTTAAGGAAGAAAGTGCAGTCCTGGGGTCAAGTTCACGAGGAAAGGACAAGGCTCACTAGCATCAGTGCTTCCTTGCCTGAGGCCCTTCTCAGAGCCTGTCATAGCTCCTGTGCAGCTTTCCCAGACTCCATGTGCACTGGCCCTTTCACAGAGTCTCATGGGTCAGGGCTGCCCTGCATCGCCACGGCTTCCATTTATTTTTTTATTTTTTATTTATATTTAATCCTCACCTGAGGATATTTTTCCATTGATTTTTAGAGAGAGTGGAAGAGAGAGAGAAACACTGATGTGAGGGAAATACAACGATTGGTTGCCTCCTGCACAAGCCCGACCAGGGCCCAGGCTGGGAGGAGCCTGCAACTGAGGTACGTGCCCTTGACCGGAATGGAACCCGGGACCCTTCCATCCACAGGCCGGCGCTCTATCCACTGAGCCAAACCGGGTAGGACTCCATTTATACACTGTAGATTTAAAACCAGAACCTTCCATGGAACCTAGAGAAGGGGCTAGAACAGGGAGCTCTGATTTCAGCAAGATGTAGATATAAATGCTGGTGGTCTCAGGCGTCTCCCACTGACTCCTTCAGCCCTTGTACCCTCTTAGTAAGCTTGGGTGTCACATGGATTGTTCTGGTGGCTCACAAAGGTTTTCTTGCCTGAGCCCAATAGCATAACAGACCATTGGTAGCCAACTCCCTTGTATCATTTAGCAAATATTGTCTCTCTGTGCCAGGCCCTATGACACAGCATTGAGCAAGCATAGGCCCAGGTCCCCACCCTCAAAAGAAGGTCCCATGCCAGGGACAGACGTGCACCTGGACAGTTAGGATACAGTGTGGTCAGTGCTGGGGCGGGGACTGTAGGGCCCATGGGAGTCCAGAGGGCAGCCTTCTGGCCTGACCTTGGGGGTGCAGGGAGGCATCTTTGAGGAGGGGCCTGCTAGAGCCCAACCTTGGGCTAGCAGGCTGCAGCAAGAGGGTCTTTCTGTCGGGGAATTCTCTGTTGTGCTAAGTAGTTACCAGGTAGAACATTTATCAATGCACTCAACACAGTTAATTGAGCAGCTGTTCTTTGCTGGGCACATGGTAGGTGAGTAGAATGAATGAATAAGGGCATGATCATAAACTTCAGGCCCCAGCTGAGTAATCCCTGCTGGGAGTGGGCTGGGGGGCACAGGCCATGGGCCACCCCCAGGTGTTTCTCGGAGCCTGGGGAGCAGCCCCTCCTGCTCCTATCCCAGCAGCCAGTTGTCTGTAGGCTGAAAACACTGGTCCTCCTGTTCGGTTTGCTGCTGTTTTTCTCACCTTGATATCTCTGCTTCTCACACTTCATCCACAGTTCCTTCTCACAATTTCTCCTGTTTTTCCTTTGACCACTCCACTCTTTCCTCTGGATTCCTGCGCCTTCCCACCTCCCCCAGCTGTTACTATACTGAGCAGCTGGTGACCTGGTGGGTATTGCCTGCTGTGTGCCTTTTCCCTGGTGTGTGAACAGCTGGGGGCGGGGCCCAGGGTGCCAGGCTCCTCTCAGCCTAGGTATAAACCACGGCCCCAGTCCTAGGTGGGATATCCCAGGGTCCCACTGAACAACCGTGGAGCACTGTTTCAGGGCCTTTGGACTAGGACAGTGAATAAGCCAGACTTGGGACTTGCCCCTTCAGAGCCCACAGGCTGGGGACACATTGTCATTGAGCAAATTGTCACAGAGAAAATGAGAGTTGGAAAGGAAGGTAGGTGAGGGGTTCTGGAAAGGGGAACAAGGGATGCGTCCTGAGAGACCTTCCCAAGAAAGTCCTGACAGCCAGGTGACAAGCGAGGTACACCAGAGAGCGTTAGAGACAGGGAAGGAAGGCCGAGAAGCCAGGAGCATGGAGACCAGCACAAGGTGAAGGTGAGAGGCCAGCCCCATCACCAGGAGGGCCCTGCAGGCTGGGGGGAAGTCTCTTCCTGGGGGCAGGCAAGGGAAAGGTGCAGCCGTGTGGGCTGCCAGGACAGGCAGGGAGCCAGGAAGCCCGTAGGAAGTAGCACATCCGGGACCTCTCTAGCACCCAGGCCCTGCCATGAGTGGCTTAGCTCAGCCCTGTCTTCTTCAGACACGTTTGGTCAAACTTCTTTGCTTGGATGTTCTGGGCTGCTTTCCCATGGCCTCTCCACACTAAAACCCAAAGCAAACGCCCTGTAATAAACTCATTGAACATTAGGAAAATTATTGGGTAAAATTCCACCTCCATTCTTAATATTTTTAACTTTTACTGATCAGGCAACAGAAACTTATTCCCTTTTTGCGTGTGTACACACACCCACACGCACACACTCTCTCTCTCTCAATTTATCCAACAGCCTACTTGAACTTTAATGTAAAACTCCAGAGGCAGTGAGTAAAAGAATGAAACAGGATGGTTTGCCTTTTCATACTGTTCTGAAAGTTCCAGCTAAAGCAATACGATAAGATATGACATTAGGACAAACAAGTGAGCTAAGTAGGTGCGAGATACATGACCTTCATCTGCACTCATCATTTCCTGGCATGCACTAGCCAGGAAACAGGGTAGAATAAGAAGAAAAGCTATCTGGGACTGTAGATAAATAAGGGACCTTGTAGAAACATGCCCTATGGACCTTGACTGTCCTCTGGTCTGGGGCAGGAGCCATCCAAGATGAGTGATGTTTATTGATAAGCAGCTGTCCCACGGTCTGATCGCCCAGGTCTGACAACACCGTGGTCAGAGCTACTTAGGACTTACTGCTAGGGGTTGGGGTAGGAATTGAGAGCGGGAGAAAGCCTCAAGTTTTTGACCCCTAAGCACTCAGAAGCCATCATGGCTAACTTTGAGCCACCTGGGACTCCAGCTCCTCATGCCATTCTCGGAGGCTCCAGTACCCAGTCACTTTGGAAATAGCTGGTGCTCTTAGGGGTGGCAGAGATCAGGGCCTAGAAGCCTCAGTGTAATTCCATACATTTTCTCCTTCCACAACCTGAGCTCGTTCCCTTGGGCAGCCCTTTGTGTGCAGGGCAGTTTCTCTCTGACTCTGCCCTTAACCGGTCACTGGCCCCCTCGTGTGGTAAAGAACCCCACCTGGGCCATGAGGGCCTCTTGCTCCCTGTCCCTCCCAGCTTCTCACCTGCATGAGCCTCTCTGTGCTTTGGTTTCAGCGCCCAGCAGAGGAGCACACAGCTGAACAAGAAGAGAGCCATTCCCAACCAGGTAACCACCCCTCTAGGGCCCGCAGCTCCACCCTCAGGGGAGGGGGCGGGAGGGCACTAAGGGACCACTGGGCCTTGCAATGGCACCTGGCGTGTGCATGCCCCACAGATCCTCACCCTGCAGCCTCTTAAGTCCACTTAGGTTGTGATGCTTCGGGAAACCGGTCTGAGAGCCAAAGCTCTGGCAGGGCCAAGGGGGCAGATTTTATACACCTGTGAGTCCCTGTCTGAACATCCAAGGCCATGGTTAGAGCTTGACCCTCAGGGCAGCACAGTCACCCATGGTGTCTGTGACCACATTGGGTTCTCGGCCCCAAGGACTAGGAGCCTGTGGGAGGCTGCATTGTGAAAAGAGTTCCATGGTTGACCCCACCTGTGGAAAAACCATAAGTCACACACAGGGTTTTCTACCTTGTCGATGTACCCCAGCCAGAAGCCGTGAAATAAGAACAGCTTTATATATTTACCACTATTAGTCTTTTGGGTTTTTGAGAAAATCATCACCTTTCTGCCCGTGTCCCCTGCTTCTCCACATCATACAGGGTGGGGACTCTGCTATTTATCTTGCACGATTATCGAGCCCTCTGGAAAAGAAGGGTGTAACCACTGCATGATTTTTTTTGTGCTTGTTGATACGTATGTTGTTGCTTTCTTGTTTCAGGAGATGATAATGAATTAAATATTAACACCATGAATATAATTAATAGCATGTAATTTTTTTTCTTTTGCTGTTTTTTTCCTCTGCTCTTCTCTCTTCCCATTTGTGTGCCTTTCCTGCTTTTTCTCTGTCCCCTCATGTCCCTTACGTCTCTTTTTCTCTGCCTGCTCTTCTTTGATTTACCTAACTTTGCATTTTCAAAGGGGGAGATCTTGGTAAGTACCCACTTAGTGTGGTAGCAAACATTAGAGATTGTCGTGGTGGTGGAGACCCCCCCACCCCTTAACATTCCCTTCCCCTCAAAATAAAAAACAACTAACAATCAAGCTAACCAAACCTCCCTGCCACAGCCTATGTCTGATGTCATGTTGCCTTGGGCATAAGCAGACTTAACACAGACTAACCTGACCACTGCCCTGGTGGAAGGCCGCCCTCCAGCCCATTCCTAACATGTGGACCTGGTTTCCTGTAGGTCAGGGATGGCAAATACTTGACTAATACCCCTCCCTCCCTTCCCTCTATCACGTCCTTCTCGGGAGATTTTGCTCAAGCTCTGCTGGAACTTGCCGCTGCCACCACTTTGTCCCCAGTGCAGACATCACCGTGGGGAAAATGTCCCCTTCCTGTGCTCATGGCAGACATTACTAATTGATCTAGCCCTCTTTCCCTGGTGCCTCTCCCCTGTCATGTGCCCACGGCAGACACTGCTAACCATTCCTGGCACTCTTTCCTAAGCATGCCACCACTCCCCATCCTATGGCAGCTGTGACTAACTGGCTGGGGAATTTATTTCCCATATGATAGCTTTGTATGTGACACAGTTTATGACAGGCATGACTAATTGATGAGGGAACTCACTACTGAATGCTGCCACTATCCTGCCTCCATGGCAGATACACGATGGAGTAGGCTCTTCTGTGCCACTTGCCCCATCCCTTATCCTTTGCCTGTGGCAGACATCACTTGTTGATCCTAGCATTCTTTCCCATTGCACCTAGAATTCTTACCACAGCACTTCAGGCAGCTCCTACTCGTTGATGGGCATGGCCCCCACATGAGTGGTATTTGCCATCCCTGTTCTTACACTTCCTCTCCTTGTGTGGCCCAGCCCAGTGGGTAGCAGGTGCTGCTTAAGTCTGACAGTTGAACTCTTTTCAAGGTGCCTGCCTCTGGGCAACTGGCTCAGCCCCAGCTCTCCACCTTGGAGAGCAAGGCCTGGGCCCCCAGCCCTAACAACAGCCTCCTTCTCCGGGATGGTCTCCCACCACCAGCCACTGAGGCACTGGGTCCCTCTGCTGCCCCCTAGCATGGATCTTCGACCCCAAGTAGCTGAGCTGATCCTGTGCCAGGGCCTCACTTGTGCCCAGGGCCTAGAATTCTCTTAGAGGATCCAGAAAGAGCCAGAGCTTGGGGGCGGAGGGAGCAAGAGGAATGGATTGTCTTTGGCTCCTGATTCCCACGTCACCTCCAACCTCCTTGGAACTTGAATGATTTCTTGCCTCTAAACAGTCCAGGGGCCTGAGAGGTTTAGTCATTCTTTTCCTGCTGGATTCCAGACCCCTGGCTACAAAGCCCAGCCCTGCCGTGTGCATGACTGGTCCCCGGGTCTCCCAGCTGTGGTTGCTATCCCTACCTGGGCAACTGGGGCTGGAACCCTCACCTGGGAGGAGGCTGGCCCACCCTGCTGGTGGGCACCAGCTGTGTTGCTTCTTGCCTGCTGCCCATGCTGTCCCTGTGGTCCTTTCTTCCACCCTGGCATGCATATTGCTGTGTACCCTGGAGCCCCGCCTGCCTCTTCTGTCTCTCCTGCCCGTCCTGCTCCCATCCCCCATTGTTTTAAGCCCAGTCCCCTTGGGCACAAATCTGGGTTTAGGATGAGGGGGTCCAGGTACTCCTTTTCCTTTAGGCTCAGCGCCTGTGTCTGCCACCCACAGCTTGCATCTTTCCATGGTGGGGTTCTGTTTCTAACCCCAGTTGGACTCACATGAAGGCAGCTCTCTGGATGGCTCGAGGGAGAAGGGACCTGGGGAGCTTCTGCAGGTCTGATTAGCAGCCTCCTGCCCTGAGATTCAGATGTGCCATTCCTGGCGTGACCCCTATCTCATGCCACATGCCCTGTAGGCAAGCGAGGCCACCGAAGGGTGGTTGGGCACAGGCTGGGCCCATGAGTGCAGAGGCCTCATGGGAGGATTTATCTGGGGAACACTGACAGCCTGTCTTTCTATCCCCCTCTTCCTCCCTTCCCGGGCTGTCAATCAGTGACTGAATTGAAGGTTAGAAACACCCACTCTGTGAGCCTGGACTAACCCGGGGCAGGCCCTACTTACCCCTGGGGGGCAGAGGAGCAGGCATGAGCAGAGCCCCGAAGCTTGGGAGCTGGATGTGGTGGCCAGATACAGGGGCTGCTTCCCGGGTCCTAAGCAGGAAGGCCTTGGGCCTGAGTCTGGAGACCACCCTTGCCCTCAGCATGACCTACTTTCCTGCTTTACCTGGGACTCGAGACTTTTAGTGCTAAACTGGGGTGAGTTGGTCGTCCTGCTGCGAGGGAGGATACCATGGCCTCTGCCTCCTTGCCAACCTGGCAGCCTGCGGCTGGGCAGGTGTTAGAGGTCACTGCCTGCTTCCTGGTGGCCAGAAGATTCCAAAGTGCAGTCTCGTCATCCAAGGGAGGGAGAAGTCTATGCCCTGGGCCTTAACCAGGGCTTCCAGCTGGCGTACCATGCCATCTCCAGCCTGGGCAGGGGCTTCTGCATGGTGCAGGGGTCTCTGAGCGCTCTGTGGCCACCTCCATCTTTATGTTCTGAGGCTCAGAGCCTAAGTCTAGCCCCAAGAGGAGTAGGGGTTGGAGGTTGGTCTCCCTGTTAAGATTTGGTAAGCCCGGGGTCAGGTCAGGGTAGGCAGAATGCAGCCCGTCCTGATACCCACCCACTAGGAAGGTATGTGGGCCCCAGAAGCACCCCCAAATCCTCATGTAGGGTGCTCCTGCCCTACCCCAGTCTGGGGTCCCACCACCAGCTCTTCTCAGCTGTTTGTGGCCGCTTGCAGCCTACTCTCTGCAGCTAGGCATGGTCTGTTGCTGCCTTGGCCCCAGGCAGCCCTGCCTGTGCCTCCACATGCTTCCCGCTGCCCTGGGGCCCCCAGTCCAGATTGGTGGGGGGCTCTGGCCCACACATGTCTCCATGGCCCAGGGATCATGAAAGCATTGCCCCCCAGGCTGCCTGTGTATAGCTGCCAGGTGAGTCCCCTGCACCAGCCTGGGTTCTGCCTCTCACTCAGATGACAGCCACCGCCTGATGACCCCATCCAGGAGGTCTCCCGGCCCGATGTGTCAGACAGAAAAGTGGGACAACGGGGCATATTCCCTGCAGGTCCCCAGGGCTCTGGATGAAGGCATCCCTTCGTCCTCACGCCCTGAAAGGGAGCCCCAGGGTGGGGGCTGTCAAAGCAGGTACCTGTGCCCGCTGAGCACCTGCCCTGGTTTGCTGTCAGAGTTGCCAACAGAGTAGGCAGCAGAGTCAGGGCTGAGTTGAGCCTCTGCCGCTTGGCTCCTGAAAGGAAAAAATAACTGTTTCATTGTGGGGGTGACTCCTCCGGTCCTCCATTGACCTTCCAGAGGGGATGAGGGGCAAGGCCCAAGGGCATCCCTCATGCCCATGTCTCATTAAGACTGTCACACTGTCACATGCTGTGTGGCTGCACACACAAGCCTGGGTCCCTCGGGGCCCCTTTCAGCAGGCATACCTTTGCCACCTGGGCTAACTCATCCTAACCTCAGGCATGTGAGTGAATCAGTGACTGTCCACCCAAGTGCCCCATATGGGTTTCCAGCAGAAAGTGCTTGGGGCAAGATGAAGTTGGTTGGCTGTTTTTTTTTATATATATATATAAATTTTTATTTATTGATTAATTTTAAAGAGGAAGGGAGAGACATCAGTTTGTTATTCCACTTATTTATGCAATGATTGATTTTTTAAAATATGTTTTTATTGATTTCAGAGAGAGGAAGGGATGGGGAGAGAGAGCTAGAAACATCTATGATGAGAGAATCATGGATCAGCTTCCTCCTGAACGCCCCCTACTGGGGATCATGCCTTGACTGGAAATCAGACCATGACCTCCTGGTTCATGGGTCGACACTCAACCACTGAGCCACACCGGCTGGGCTATTTGATTTTTTTAAAATATCTTTTTAAAAAATTGATTTGAAAGAGAGGGAGAGAGAAATATTGATTTATTTTTCCACTTATTTATGCATTAATTGGTTGATTCTTGTATGTGCCATGGCCAGGGATTGAACCCACAGCCTTGGCATATCGAGATGTTGCTCTAGCCAACTGAGCTACCCGGACAGGGCCTCGTTGGTATATTCTTTTTTTTTTTTTTTAATATGTTTTTATTGATTTCAGACAGGAAGGGGGAGGGAGAGAGAGATAGAAACATCAATGACGAGAGAGAATCATTGATTGGCTACCTCCTGCATGTCCCCTACTGGGGATCAAGCCCACAAACTGGGCATGTGCCCTTGACTGGAATCGAACCTGGGACCCTTGAGTCCACTGGCCAATGCTCTATCCACTGAGCTAAGCCAACTAAGGCAGTAGATTCTTGTATGTGTCCTGACTGGGGATCGAACCCACAACCTTGATGTATTGGGCTGACGCTCTAACCAACTGAGCTACCCAACCAGGGCAGGTTGGCTGTCTTTGGGTTGTAGGTATCTCTGCCTTGTTCCCTGGCTTCCTGTCTTGCTGGGGGCAAGGGCTCTGGCTGCTGTGCTGGGGGTGGGCTGGGCTGGGCGGTAGGTCCTCCACTGAGCTGTGCCCTTCTCCCCAGGTGATCCGCAAGGGCTGGCTGACCATCAACAACATCAGCCTCATGAAGGGCGGCTCCAAGGAGTATTGGTTTGTGCTGACGGCCGAATCTCTGTCCTGGTACAAGGATGAGGAGGTGAGTGGCTGGCAGAGCTGGAGCCAAAGAGCAAGAATAGTGACCCCTCACTTGTCACTCCCTCACTCACTCACTTATTCATTTGTTCACTCATTCAGTGACTTGTTCATTCAAGAAATGTTTCCTGAGTACCACTGTGCCTCAGAGGTCACCATTAGGATGGTAACAGCCAAGGCTGGAGGGTGTCCCAGGCATCACACATCATATCCCAGCCCCCAGGGCCCCTGTGGGGTCCAGCCTGATGGAGGAAAGGAAGATGGGGGAGGGAGCCCCTGGTGGGCTGGAAACAGACCCCAGCCTCCAAAGGCATAGCAAGGGGAAGTTCTGGCTCTCAGAGGGAACACAGCCTGGGGTCAGGGACTCAGGCTTCCCGCCAGGCTGCTGGAGTATTGGGATTCCATGGGATACGACTATATGGGCTCAGCCAAGCCCTTGGCCTCCCTGGGCCTTCGTTTCCTCATCTGTGAAGTAGAATGAATGGCCCCTACCTACTGTGAGGTGCTGAGCCATAGTGTCGTCCTTAGAACATTACACACTTGCTTGTCCTGATCAGAAGGACAGAGGGAGGCCTCATGGAATAGCACCAGGAGCTGCTGGGAGCACCTCCGGGAGCAGTATTGCATGCTGTTTGAGCTGCTGTCTCCATGAACAGGGAGCAGGGGGCGGGGAGGGAGGGAGCGAGAGGGAGGCACTGCTCTTCAGGTCCATCCTCTCTATGCCCTAGCCCAGTGGTCGGCAAACTGCGGCTCGGCAAACGGCGGCTCGCGAGCCACATGCGGCTCTTTGGCCCCGTGCGTGTGGCTCTTCCACAAAATACCGGCTCTTCCACAAAATACCGACTTCTGCGCATGGGCCACGAAGTTTCAATCGCACTGTATGTGCGCGCCCGCACATGGTATTTTGTGGAAGAACCACACTGAAGGGGCCAAAGAGCTGCATGTGGCTCGTGAGCTGCAGTTTGCCGACCACGGCTCTAGCCCATTTTCCCATCCTGAGTGGCCCATTTCTTTACTTATTATCCTAATGGAACAACATAACTGGCTTAGCGGCCTGGGAGTGAAGCCACTCCTGCGGGTCCTATTGCCACTGTGATGGGCCAAGGGGTCACCAGCAAGGAGCGCTGTGTTTCTGTCCTTTTCCTGGGTTGCCTTCCGAGAGCCTCATAGGCTCTCTCTGTTGGCCAGGGCAGTGTTGTGTGTCTCTGACAGGCCCCAAACGAAGGCACTTACCCAAACAGAAGTCTGTTTCTCATACGTGTCCCTGGTGAATTCGGTGGCCCTGTGATGCAGGCTGACCAGGGTGTAGGCTTCTCTTTTCCCGTTGCCGCCTTAACACAGGGCTCCCCTCACTGTCCAAGATGGCTGCCCCACGCCCATCACCACATGGCCTCCAGCAGCCCCAACAAGGGCCTAACGAAGAACGTGCACACATCACCCAGCTCAGGTGTTCCTGACCAGAGTCTAGTCACATGGCCACTGTGTGTCCTGCTTATCTGGGATGGCATAGCCCCCGGCCCAGCCCAGGTGCCCTCAGAGCCTCCCCTTGGGAATTGGAAGGACCCCCTTTAGAAGTGCCCAAACAGGAGGCCTCATTGGCAGGTGACCCCATTCCGAGACAGCCAGGCCTGGGCCAAACTGCGTATTTCCACCCAGGTTCAGAGACGAGGCAGGTAGAGCGCTGTTGGGGCCCCTGGGTGGCTCTTATTTATGACGCCCACTAGGCCACACGTGGAGGGTGTCCTTCCCTCGGAATCCTCACACTTGGTCAGTGAGGAAGCTGAGCCTCCAGCTAGTGACTTCCCCATGGCACAGAGCCGAGAACGGGCCCCAAGGGTGGGTAGAGGGCACAAGCGCCCTGACCCGAGAGACACCTCAGCCCCACAGCCCAGGCCGGATGTGGATTCCTCCAAGGGACCGTGTTTGGGAGTGAAATCATCCCATCCCACATGAGTCCAGATACTCACCCTGGAATGTTCTGGAAACCTCAGGAGCTCTGAGTCCCCTGAAGGGAGGGACCCTGTCTGGGTGGCTGTTTTTAAACAAAGGTGGGGGGTTGTTCAGGGCCCCACAGCTTCATAGGGTTTGGATGCGGGGGGAGGGTGAGACCAGGCATTCCTCAAGGAACCCTGGTGGCCACATCAGCTCTAAAATGGCTGGGTGAGGGGTGGGGTGTCGCCTTCACATTTTTTCCCTCTCCGCCCCCATCGTCTGAAACCCAGCCTGCTCTGTGGTTCGTCAGCTGTCAGGCAAGCTCAGGGCTGGTCCCGCCTTTGGGCTCGGGGGTCCCAGGGCCTGGTGCCGGCCGTGGGCAGTTACAGAGGGGCTTCTGGGCCCAACCCTAGGCTGGTTCACTGCTCGGCACCATTGCAAGTCCAGTTTTCAGAGATTCTCTTCTTGAACTTGAAGAGAGGCCAGGCCCTTCGTTTACCTCTCACCTGGGGGTTGAAAGCAGGAGCCCCAGACTCTCCCTTGGGGCCCCAGACCAGAGGCAGGGGAAGTGTTGGGAGGAGGGTCGAATGCCCGCCGGTGGTAATGAGAACCAGCAGGCCTGTGAAAGGGGCCTTGTGTGTGCCCCAGACACAAAGCGGGCTCAGATCGGGAGGGGCAGGAGCGAAATCCTGTGCCTCCGCCCAAGTTAGGATTCCAGCCGCGACCCTCAGAGTCACACATGGTGGCCACCCCCAGGGCCAGGCTCCTTAGAGAAGCCTCAGAGAGGGGCAAGACATTTGTATTTCTTTATCTAAAAAAATAAACGAGAGATGGTTACTGCAAGAGGTAGGTGTAGGGGGGTGATTCAGCCAGAGCCCCCAAACCTTAGGACCGGCATTGGGGCTCCCTCTGCCTTTCCCTGGAGCCTTTTCTCCCACCCAAACCCTTTTTCTAGACTCCAGAACCTTCCATCTGAGTCTCCACCCCGGTGGGAAACAGGGTGGTGGGCAATAATACTCACCTCCAGGTCTGCCTCTCTGTGGGGGTGGCAGCAAGTTTGGGGGGGCCCCTGTCCCGACGTGCTGCTGGCCCAAGCCCAGCCTAACCAATGTGCAGACTACTGTACACATTCAGAGCCCCCTGAACAGGTAGTCTGAACACTGGGTTGGCGGGGCTGGCTGTCCATCCCGTGGGCCCCCCAGGCAGCGACAGGGCCACCACACTCCAGCACCTCTGAGACGGCGAGGAAGCCACTGCTCCGCCCGTGACAATCCGCTGGAGCTTTTCTGACGTGGCAAGGCTGGGCTGGCTTGCATCTGGAGAAAGTTGTGGGTTTTCAGGAAATCCTAAGGAGGGGGTGGGTGGGAAGGAGGGTTTGGGTCTGTGGCCTCTGCGTGCGGGAGACGCTTTCCTTGGGGGTCGGGATAGGGGCGGGCGCGCGCGCACACACACACACAAACACACACACACACAGCGGCTGTGTGTGTGTGTGTGTGTGTGTGTGTGTGTGTGTGTGTGTACGTGCGCCGGCAGCATCAGGAAGGCAGCCGCTGTGCTCTGGGTGGAATCACACTATAAACAGTTCCAGATGTGGCGTCTCGCTCGGGGTCCAAAAGGACTGTGACTCAGTGACTTGGCCTGGCCAGCTGACTAGAAGCTTCCTGCCTCAGGACACAGCAGGGCGGGGGCAGTGAAGGCCTTTCCACAAACTTCCAGTCAGGGAACTCCTGCCCTGTTCTCTTCTAAAGCCCCCAAAACTGCCTGGGACAACGGGTACACCCTGTCTTCACCATACTCTGTCCCTTGGGCTCCAAGTCTGGAGCCTGAAGCGTGTGTGTGTGTGTGTGTGTGTGTGTGTGTGTGTGTGTGTCGTTTCCTGGGCACTGGGCCCCTCTCCCTACCTCACTGCAGCTTGGCCTGGAGAAGTGCTGTGTCTGCTTCCTCCCTGCCCAGAGCCTAGTAGGCTGTCGCTGGAGCATGAGAGACACAGACAAAAGAAAACCCTGGTGTCTTGTAAGCACTGGCTCTGGGTTGGCACATGATCAGTACTTTCTCACAAAGTATCAACCCTCATCTCAAACAAGGAGGGCAGGGCTCCTGTCTGCCTTTGATAGACAGCGGGGAAGTGGCTTGCCCAGGGGCACATGGTCAGGGAGGGGCTGAGGTCTGAGCTCCCAGTGCCCAAGGACAGCCCATGCTTGGCACCAAGCTGGCCACTAGCTCCTGCCTCCCTGACTGTAGTCTTGAAACTCTGAGGGAGCCCCTGACCCCTTCCCCTCCGTCACAGGTTGCTCTTGAATTTGGAAGCAGCAGCCATGTTGGGCTTTGTTCTGGGGCCTTCTGGCAGACAGGGACAAGACAGGTGGAAAGAAGTGAACTGCTGGGTGAGGAGATAGGTCTCCTCCAAAGTCGCCAGGAGGTGAAAGGCCGGGAGAATGGTGACGAGAGCGCGGTCTGGGGCACAGGTCCCTCTTGGCCCATGCTGCCTGCGGTGTGGCCCTGGGCAGCCAGCTTCCCTCCCTGAGCCTGATGCTTCCCTGGCAGGGATGGTGGAAGGTTTCATGAGCTGATGGAGGAGCAGCACCTCACATTGGCTCTTGAGATTTGCCATGTGTCATGTGGGCATGGGAGCTGGGGAACCCTGACACCATGCTCTGGTTTCCTGGTGTGAAAACCCAGTTAAAGTGTGCAAGCGCATGCGCACACATGGCCGCTGTGAAAACTAACAATGATGCGCTGGCCCTGTAGGTGCTTTGCCGACAGTGGTGGGGAGCATTGGGCTCCAGGGCTGCTTCCCCGCGGCACTTCCTCAGTGGGGCTGCCCTTAGGAAGCCAGTGACACTTCTGTGGCTTTGGAGCTCAGGCATCCGTCAGTTCCGTGGGCCTTGCTTTCCAGCACCTGGATCGTCTGAAATCCCAGCCCGGCCCCTGATCCCCTGCCTGCCCTTCTCAGTGCCTCAGTCTCCCTCCCCTCTGTACATGGGAGCATAGTGGTAACTCACTTCCAGGCTCATGAGGCCGTAGCTGAGTTAGCAGTTCATTCCCTCAGCCTGGAGGGGAGAAGTGGATTCTGGGTGGAGTCAGAGCTGGCCAGCTTTGAGCATCCACTGTGTGTCAGCAGTGACCAAATAGACAGGAGTCCCTGCTCTCCAGGAACTGAGGAGTCTGTCCGGTGACAGACGGCAGCCCAGATCAATAGCAAGATATACAGTTGTGTTGTGAGGGGAAGCATCAAGGGGAAAGAAGTTGGGATCTGAGGGAGGTTGGGGTGGGGTTAGGGCGGGTGTTGCCAAGGTCTCTGCACAAAGACCCGAAGTGGGCAAGGAGGGAGCCACGGACATGGAGTGTTCCTGGCAGAGGTCCCAGATGTGCAAAGGGTCCTGGGTGGGCGCTTGCCCAGGATGTTCAGGGAGTGTCAGGAGGCCAGCATGGCTGGGGCAGGGTGAACAGGAGGCAGCAGTAGTGGGTGAGTTGATCTGAGTAACGTGGCTAAAATGAGAAGCATCAGGTGTTGGCAGTGGTCCTTGCAGTAGAGCCCAGCCCCGGGCATCTTCAGGTCTTCAGTTAAACAGCATAGGCTGACCCCTCCCCTTCCACCCTCAGGAGAAAGAGAAGAAATACATGCTGCCTTTGGACAACCTCAAAATCCGTGACGTAGAGAAGGGCTTCATGTCCAACAAGCATGTCTTTGCCATCTTCAACACGGAGCAGAGGTGAGTGCCCATGGGGTCCCAGGATGGAGACTCCTTGAGTCAGTCATTCAGCAGCATCCACTGAGCACTTGGTGAATATAGGCCCTACCCTGGCATATCACATTCTAGAAAGAGAGTCCATTGAAAAAAAATGCCATGGGTGGTCAGGGAGGACCCTCTGGGCAGAGACAGATGAAATGATGCCAGGAGCCTTGGAGGGTTCTAAACAGGAATAGGACCTGACTCAGGTGCTCACAGCGCCCTCTCGTGGCCATGGGAGACAGACATGGGGGTGTGGCGGGAGCCCAGGGCACCTGGACCAAGAGACTGTGCTGATCCAGGTGGGAGATGGTGGGGCTGGACCTGGGTGGTGCTTAGGGACATAGAGGGGGAGTTGGCCAAACTTCTGGTGGATATGGAGAGAAAGGCATTGCTGGTGACCCTGAGCTCCTGCAGGGAGGGAGCTGCCAGCAAGCATGATGGGGAAGGTGGAGGCAGGGTGAGCTGGGAGACAGGAGCCATAAAGAGGGAGAGAGGCCTGTGGGGCTTGGGGAGGTAGCTGGGTAGATATAAGAGTGTGGCATTTAGGAACAAGCCCCAGGAAGGCATGTGAATTGGGGAATTGTGATTGCATAGTGGTATTTAAAGTCAGACCGAATGGGATCCCTGAGTGAGTGCAGATGGGGAAGGGACCAGGAGGCCCTCAGTAAATCTTCCCATAGTGTGTTGGGAGACTTTAGCACAAGTAAAAGCACTTTTCTCAACTCAGGAAGGGAGGGCCCCTCCCTAAGACACACACACCCTCATCCAGGAACCAGGGACCACCTGAGCCAGCTGGCAGGTGATTGACATCCCAGCTGGCCCCAGGGCCACCACCACATTGCTTGTCTGCACCACCAATTCCAGCTGAGCCCCTGTTTTGTGTAAGAAAAACTCTATCCTTTTTTCTGGACTGCCCTCAAGACCTACTTTGGCCATCAGCTGGCTCCAAAAACCTTTATAGCTCTGTGAGGCTCACCTACCTCCCCTGCCCAAGAATCCCTAGGGGGGTACGTGGCAGAACCTGGGCTCTGCAGGGGGACAGACCTGTTGGGGAGCTTTTCCTGACTGAGTGACACTGGGCAACTGTCCCACCACCCTGGCCCTGTGTCCCCCTGTGCAGGGGGTTGAAAATATTACCTGATATATTGTTTAGGAGTTTAGAAAACCCAAAATAATAGTAACAGGAACAAGATAGATGTTTCCTTTTTTTATATAAATCAGGTTAAGACTTTACCATCCAGGGCAAGTGGGGCAGCTCCACAGGTGTGTGGGCCCAGGTCCTCCTTATCCCTCGCCTTCTTGCTCATTGTCCAAGGGGGCTGCCCAAGCTGCAGCCAGCCTGATGATGATGCGGGCATCAGAGAAGAGTCGGAGGAGCAAAAACGGCGTGCCCCTCCCTTCACAACTCCTTCCATACATCTCTCCAGGCCGCCACTCACTAACCACCAGTTGGCCAGAGCTCCATCACGGGACAATGCCCCACCTCAAACCCAAATCTCCCGCAGAGACTTTGGGGCAGCTTGGCCGTCTCAGCCATGCCTGCCCTGTGGGACAGGATAGGGTACAGAAACTGCTACCATCCTGGGGTCTCTGGTCGTAAGTGTCTGGGTCACATGTGAATCCCAGTCACTCAGACCCTAGAGCTCATTACACCCAATCTGGGCCCACAGTCAAGGTCAAGCATGTGCCTCTCTCTCTTCCCATCACAGGAATGTCTATAAGGACCTGCGGCAGATCGAGCTGGCCTGCGAGTCCCAGGAGGAAGTGGACAGCTGGAAGGCCTCGTTCCTCCGAGCTGGTGTCTACCCTGAGAAGGACCAGGTGAGGCGCTCCATGCCCTGCCTGGCCAGCACCCTTCTGGCTGAGCTGACCCCGCCTGGGAGAGGAAGGGGCTAGGATCTCAATAGGATGAGTCATCTCCAGGCTGTATTTACCACAACTTTCTGAAGGCACGTAGCCCACACCCTTGAGCACACAAAACAGAGAAGTGGAGGAGGATTTTGTCCTCAGGGCCGAGAAGGTTCTCCAACTGAAGCCAAGGACAGGGATGAGTAGGGACTAGGACCCCATCTGCTATGTTTTCTCTCCTCCTTGAAGTAGAGAGAACATGGCTGTCCCTATCCCCTAATTAACATGTTATTTTTTTTTCTTTTTAATTGTTATTCTTTTTTTTTTTAATATATTTTATTGATTTTTTACAGAGAGGAAGGGAGAGAGATAGTTAGAAACATCGATCAGCTGCCTCCTGCACCTCTCCCACTGGGGATGTGCCCGCAACCCAGGTACATGCCCTTGACCGGAATCGAACCCGGGACCCTTCAGTCCGCAGGCCGACGCTCTATCCACTGAGTCAAACCGATTTTGGCATTAATTGTTATTCTTAACATTTGTTTCAATCCCCAAGTAAGAAGATCTAACCCGCTTTGGGCCATGGTCACCTCAGATCCGGGCATCTCAGTCCAGGGGCAGGCAGGGCCACATGCCAACATGGATATCAGGGGCCAGCCCTGGAGGGTTGGTTGGTTGTGGGTGGGACAGGCCAAGCCATTTTCAGAGAAGCGGGGGCTCCCTATTCTCTCCTTAGACCTCAGTCACCCTTCACCACCTCTCTCCCACCTGGCAGGCAGAAAACGAGGAAGGTGGAGTACAGGAGAACACCTTCTCCATGGACCCGCAGCTAGAGCGCCAGGTGGAGACCATTCGCAACCTGGTAGACTCCTACGTGGCCATCATCAACAAGTCCATCCGCGACCTCATGCCAAAGACCATCATGCACCTCATGATCAACAACGTAAGTGTCTGGCCCTGCAGGGCCTCAGTCACAGGGACGGGCCAGTGGTGGCCACAGCCAGATTTGGCCTAAACACTATAAAATAAAAAACTTAGTTACTACCTTTTAAATATCAAAATCAGGATTCCCAGCTTCTTCTGGGAAATTGGAAGGTACAGGCCACACAGGGTTCAATACATTTGTCAGGTAACTTAAGCTAACACGACATGTGTGCACTTTCTCTAAATTAATCTTTTTAGTCTTACAGTAACCATAGGAGAGGGACTGCTGTCATCCCCATTTTATAGACATGAAAATGGAGGCCCAGAGAAGTCAAGAAACCTGCCCCAACACTCAGAAAAGTGGAAGTTGGGATTCTAAAGTCAGACAGTCTATCCCCAACTTTAGCCTTGTGTTGGCAGCCTTGGCCTCCTGATGGGCCGCAGCCCAGCCCGCCTTTACTTTCAGAGTTACCTGCCTGACCTAGGCTCGCAAGCCATTCATTTAGGCTTCTCTTTGATAAAATGCAGCTGTACTAATGTCTCCCATGTCAGGCTTTTGGCTTTGCAGCAGGTACTCAGAAAGCTATATAACCAGGTTGGATTTGTGTTGTGACCATAAAAACTGAAGCTATGACAGGATCTAAAGCAAAAATCCCAAATCCCTTCCCTTTCGTTCCATTCTTCACGGTCTCCTTCTCAGTGATGATCAGTGTGAATTTTGTGGGTGCCCTGGTATATTTTTCACATATTGATGAGATTTATGATATAAATGGTTCTGCAGCCTGAAATTTAAAATGCATATATGGGCCATATCCGGTTTGGCTCAGTGGATAGGGTGTTGGCCTGTGGACCAGAGTCCCAAGTTCAGTTCCTGTCAAGGGCACATGCCCAGGTTACAGGCTCGATCCCCAGTGGGGGGCCTGCAGGAGGCAGCAAATCAATGATTCTCTCTCATCATTGATGTTTCTCTCTCTCTCCCTCTCCCTTCCTCTCTGAAATCAATAAAAATATATTTTAAAGCATATATGGGCCCAACCAGCGTGGCTCAGTGGTTGAGCATCTAACCTATGAATCAGAAGGTCACATTCAATACCCCGGTTCAGGGCTCAATCTGACTCTCCCCCTTCCTTCCTCTCTGAAATCAATAAAAATATCTTTTTAAAATCTTTTTTTGTTGTTGTTGAAAGTATTATATATGTGTCCCCTATAGTCCCCTTCTAGCCCGCCCCCGCCTTCACCATCCTATTGTCTGTGTCTGCCCTCCTACCAGTCTCAATGTGCTATCTTCTTCTCTAGTTGTAGGACTTCCATTCAGCCAGATTTCAGGCAGTTCTGAATGATGGTTGTTCTGCATTTTAGTTGTAATTTGGATGTGGTTGTGGGAGGCTGCTAGTACTGGCCGGCATTTACCTACGCCGGTTCTCTTGGTTCTCTCCTTCTTGGTTCCCTTTGAGCCTCTCACCTGTTTTAAACATCATACATGTTCTACGATAAATCAAAGACAAAGAGCCCTAGCCGGTTTGGCTCAGTGGAAAGAGCATCGGCCTGTGGACCCAAGGGTCCCAGATTCAATTCTGCTCAAGGGCACATGCCTGGGTTGCGGGCTTGGTCCAACGTGCAGGAGGCAATCAATGATTCCCTCTCATCATTGATGTTTCTATCTCTCTCTTCCTCTCCCTCTCTAAAATCAGTAAAAATATTTAAAATAAAATTAAAGACAAAGAAAGCCCTTTCTATTGTGGTGAATGCTTTTCCAGCCAGTCTCAATGGTCAACTGAGTGCATGGTTGGTTGGTGGGAAGCTCTGACCGCTCTGATCCTTGTCCCCAGACGAAGGCCTTCATCCACCATGAGCTGCTGGCCTACCTATACTCATCGGCAGACCAGACCAGCCTCATGGAGGAGTCAGCTGAGCAGGCCCAGCGGCGAGACGACATGCTGCGCATGTACCACGCACTGAAGGAAGCGCTCAACATAATAGGGGACATCAGCACCAGCACTGTGTCCACACCTGTGCCTCCACCCGTTGATGACACCTGGCTCCAGAGCACCAGCAACCACAGGTCTGTAAGACCTGGTCACCTGCTTGCTGCAGAGGCTGCTGCCTGCAGGTTCCTAGCTCCTCTCCGAGCCCACGAGTGGGCAGGGTAAAGGGGCCCAATCCGGATGGCATAGCACCCAGGGCTAGTCACAGTGGGAACTGCTAGCCCACCTCAGCCTGAAGAGACGGGAGAAGGGTTAAAGGCCAGACTGTCTCTTGATGCCTTCCATTGCTTCAGCCTAAATGGAAGCCAGAGAGGGGAAGAGGCCCGATGACACTGGCCAGGGTGGTCAGCCTCCTCAGGCACAGAGCACGGCTAAGAATGGTGGGTGGAACAGGATCTGGAGGGGCAGAAAGGGCATAATCAGAAAATCTCCTCCCCTCTGACCACCCCTGAGCTGTGGATGAAAAAGAGACTCTGGTGTGGGTGGGGAATTCAGAGCATCAGGCAGGGAAACCTAATCGGTAGAAGGTCAGGCAAGTGGTGGGAGAAGATAGGTCAAGCAAATCTCATAGAAAGTGTCAGCTCTACCGAGACCTCAGGGAACCAGAGTTAGTTAGAGAGAGGACACAGTATCCAGCAGGGGGAGCAGCGGGTGCTCAGGCCCTGGGATAGCCTGTGGGGCACCTGGGACAGGGACTTGTGGCCTCTGGAAGCATCTGATCATGATTTATAGGGCAGAGCTAAGCTCTGGTAGGATTTGCAATTATGGAGGGTGGATTGGAGGAAGCACCGAGGTGGGGAGGCCCGAGCAGGGCCAGTGAGAGTAAAAGTCTGTGGAAGTGAGGTCAGAGGGAAAAAGGAGCCCTTAGCCAAGGACAGGTAGGTTTGGGGTGGGAGGGCGGCCATTTCTAGCAGGTTTGGGGGTGAGCAGAGGATCCCAGTGGGCCTGCACTGCCCCTTGTCTAGGACCAGGCGTTCACTCATATCTCCCTGAGTCGTAGCTTGTCCCAGCCCATTACAGAGGAGGCCATTGTGGTCAGCAGCCCCAGCCCACCTCTGGCTTCTGTGGCTAATGGGCATGGCTGGTGTTCCTGCCCACTGTTTCCAGCTCACACCCTCTTTCTTCCACAGCCCCATTCCGCAGCGGCGACCTGTGTCCAGCGTGCACCCCCCAGGAAGGCCCCCAGCAGTGAGGGGCCCCACTCCAGGGCCTCCCCTGATGCCTGTGCCGGTGGGGCCAGCAGCCTCCTTCTCAGCGCCTCCCATCCCATCCCGGCCCATACCCCAGAGCGTGTTTGCCAATAATGACCCCTTCATGGCCCCGCCTCAGATCCCGTCTCGGCCCGCTCGGATTCCACCCGGCATCCCCCCTGGAGTGCCCAGGTAAGGCTGGCCCCCTAGTTGCCTACCATCTAGAGCCACTGGCCTGAACCCCGCAGGGAGTAGAGGAGTCACTGGCATCTTCATTTGACTGGTGGGGAAACTGAGGCCCAAAGTTCCGGAGTCAGGTGACTCCAAGGCTCCAGGCCTGTCTTCTGCCACACAGCCTGGGACCCTCACACGGGGCCTCTTCCCCTGGCCTTTGCTTCTTTACTGAGGACACACATCAGTCACGGCATAACCCTGCCCTGCCTCTCCCCACCTTGCAGGCCAAGCTCTCTTCTCCCCACTTGTCCTGGGAGGAACATGAGGTCCAGGGCGGGTGGGGGACTGCCCAGGGTCACACAGCAAGTTAGTGACTGCAGGCTACCACCGCCTAGGCTTGACGGACTCATTCCTGGCCGCCTTCAGAGCATCTAGCAAAGAACAGCAACCTGGGAGGGGGTGGTGGGGCCTGGGTCCTCATTGTTACCCTGCTTCCAGCCTCACTGCCATCTCCCCCTCCCTGTCTTTATTCTCTTTGCAGCAGAAGACCCCCGGCTGCGCCCAGCCGGCCCACCATTATCCGCCCAGCCGAGCCTTCCCTGCTCGACTAGGCTGCAGGGGCATTTTCTCGAGGGCTCCCTGTGCACCCTCAGTGCAGGAGCTTTGTTGATCTGGGCCCCTCTGCCGCCCCTGGCCCTCTCATCCCCATGCCAGGCCCAGGCTCCCTGAGTCTTTCCTAACCCTGGCCTGGCCGGAGGCGGGCCTGGCCCCTCTCCCCAGCTGGACATAGCACTGAGGGGCCCTGGATCCTCAGCATGGGGGGAACTTGGGTGTTGCACTTTGGGGGATGAGGCCTGAGGTAGCAGAGGAGGAAACTGGACCCTGAGCACCATCTTGAACAAGGGATCCCGGCTGGTATAACAGGGACTCACCCAGGGGCTTCTCAGGCCTAGAAAGCCTGAGTAGACCAGGCCTTCTGGAATCTGGGCACCAAAGGCGCCTGTACGCTTAGTCCTTGCTGGGGTGCAAGGAGTGTGTCCACTTCTCAGCAGTGGGAGCTCCTGGTGGCAAGACAGGAGCCGGTCCAGTGCTGCCCGCCCTGCCCACGTTGTACATATTCCTTTCTTGGCCGTATTAACTGCACGGCCCAGCCTTGGCTGCCAGAGGTGCCTTTGCCAGGTCTGGAACCCTCAGCTCCGCTGGCCTCGCTCTCTTCCCCTCCCTCCACCCCCCCTCCTCCTCCTGGGTCCCCAGAGTGGCCTGGGTTGAGGGCTGAGTGGGTTGGGAGGCTTTGGGAGCCCCTTGGCTCCTACCCTGGCCTCCTACATGGGGCGGGCCCCAGGTGGCCACTCTCTGAGCAGACCTCGTTCACTGTTCGCTCGGGTTGACCACTGTAAGTGCCTGCACTCTGTATCCTATTAATAAACTAAAATAAAGGGAAGAAGCTTCTGGTGGCTGCTGTGTGGCCTTTTGTGTTGGCGTTCAGGCTGAGGATGTGGACTGCTTGCCTTCCCCCAAGAAGGCCTCCAATGAGGACCCCACCCTTTCCCCCACAGCCTCCCCCACACCTTACTCATGGGGGGGCGCTGCTCTTGTGGGGAGGACTCATTCCAGAGGAATTCGTGCTCTAGAGAGGAGAGCTTTTACTACCCATAACATCTCAGGACTGGAGGAAAATAT